TTCACTCGCTTCCCTAACATTCATTAGCTGAAGCAAGTCACTTAGTCATCGCCTAATTTCAAGGAGATGGGGAAGTGTCATTCTCCCCACATGATCGGGAGATAAGAACAACTAGAAACATTGTTGAGGACAGTAATGTCTCCACCCACCTCTCCTCTTTTTTTGAGATGGGGTCTCACATCTGTCCGCCAGCCTGGAGTGCAGTGGTGTGGGCTCACTGCAACTCTGCCTTCGGGTGATCCTCCTACCCAGCATCCCCAGTAGTGAGACCACCAGGCATGTGCCACCATTGCCCAACCTATTTTTTTTATTTTGTGAGATAAGGTTTTCCATGTTGCCAGGCTGTCTTGAATCCTCGAGCTCAAGCAATCTGCCTGCCTCGCCCCGTAAAGTGCTGGGATACCACGTGTGAGCCAACACATCCAGCCCTATATCCCATAGTTTTTATATCAATGTTTTTTTTTTCTTTGAGACAGAGTCTCGGCTCTGGTCACCCAGGCTGGGATGGCAGTGGTGCGATCTTGGCCCACTGCAACCTCCGCCTCCTGGCTTCAAGTGATTCTTTGGCCTCAGCCTCCCGAGTAGCTGGAACTACAGGTGCGTGCCACACCTGGCTAATTTTGTATTTTTAGTAGATACCAGGGTTTCATCATATTGGCAGGTTGATCTCCAACTCCTGACCTCGTGATCTGCCCACCTCAGCCTCCTAAAGTGCTGGGATTACAGGTGTGAGCCACCACACCCAGCCAATGATTGTTTTTATAATTTCCCCATGCACATTTTTGTACCAGGTCTGAATCTGTAAAATGTCTTTTATTTCATTTTCAAAAACCACTTATAAGTCTACGAGTAAGTATATCTACAAAATAATTTGTTTTTTTTTTTTTTGAGGCAGAGTCCTGCTTTGTTGCCAGGTTGGAGTGCAGCCGCGTGGTCTGGGCTCACTGCAACCTCCGCCTCCTGGGCTCAGCGATTCTCCCCCTCAGCCTTCCTGAGTGCTGGGATTACAGGGCCTGCCATCATTGCCCAGCTATTTTTCTATTTTTAGTAGAGACACAGTTTCACCATGTTGCCCAGGCTGGTCTCGAACTCCGGCTCAAGCGGAATCTGCCTGCGCTCACCTCCAAGAGTTGCTGGAATTACAGACATGAAGGAAAAGAAAAAAAGGATTTTATGTTACTACATAGGATACTCTTACAAATTAAGAAGAGTGTCAAACATCCAAACAGAGAAATGGGCAAAGGAAAAGAAAAATAAATTCACTAAAGAAATACAACCAAGTATCAAACATGGAAAAGTACATAATCCATCTCTAACAAAAATAAATGTATGTAACAGTAACGAACTATCATTTCTCCTTTATCAATGTAGGAAACATTTGAAAGCCTTATCACTTCTGATATTGACAACAGTGTGGAAAACTTTAAATGGCGCAAGTACAAAGCTTGAGATAGGGCAATTTGGCAGTATCCATGAAAACTAAGCAGGGTGCTTAGTGTTACTAAATGATACATTACCTGAGGATATAGGAGTAGTATATCATAGTAACCTAAAGCATAGGCTCTGGGATTAGATGGCCATTTCCTAGCTTTGAGACACTGGCAAATTTCTTAATTTTATGGCCTTAGTTTTATCATTTATAAAATAGAGATTATAATAATTACTTCATAGAGTCTTGTGAGAATTAAGTAGTTTTACATGTCTTATAAATTAATAAAGGATATCTGAACTAAGGAACTTATAATAAAAACAAAGTGATTAAATTTAAAATGTCTTTATTCACTTATATGGTATATATCACACTCCACAAAAAAATGACACTTGTCTTTCAATCTGTCAAGCTTAGCTAAAAAATTCATGTATCTCTTTTCTATATCACATATTGACATGATATAGGATGCAAGATATAAATATCAATTCAATAGACATTATTAAATAATTTTACTTATGTAGAATCTTAGATAAGTGGTTAAAATTATAGATTGACATTAAGTGTGGGAACAGGAATATTCTGTGTATACCAATGGGTTTAACAGAAGATGTGTTCGCACTGATTTCTGGTCATCAACTTGCTTTCTGTGAATCTTTAAATACCCAATTCCAAATCTTCCAGCTCCTGGAGAAGGGCTGTTTCTTTCTGAATTTTCTCCAACTAGAAAAGTTTAAAACAATGAAGTTATTATGAAATAGTTAGTGGATATGTAACCAAAATAATACAGAAAAAAACATGATATTTCTGACAATTTATTATGTTCACTAGTAAACACAGATTTTAAAACACAGGTTAGAAACAAATTCTGATTTGTTATCTGGTATGAATCAAGAGTGAAAAGAACAGACACTGTTTTATTGCATCCCTTTGGGCCCAAAACATTTTCAATTCTATATTTGGGATTAAAATTGTTGAAAGGAGGAGGGAAAAGGCAAACAGGGCAGTACAACTTGAGATAATAATCTTATATTTGTCTAATACAACAAATTGCTATTATTTTCAACAGTAGTAGCATAGTATGCCTCTTAGGAATATTGACTTTTTCATTCACATGAACCATATCTCCTCTATTTAAGAGTAAAGCTATTTAAAAGTAAAAACATTAAAAAGAATATGGCATATGGTTTTCAAAATAAGTTTTTAAAATCTATGTGCTCTTTTACCTGACTAAATACTTGTTTATAATAAAAGGGGGAAGGCTGGTGGTCACCACAAGCCTAAATGGAAAATGCAGAAAGTACCTGATTTTTTTCTAGCTGTTTTCCAGTTGCTGCTTGTTCTTTCAGTTGTTCAATTGCTTTCAGTTTCTGCAAACATCAAATATGAGTCAAGTGGAAGGAAGTCACTTCAAATGCAAATTTCCTCATTAAGAATGTGAAACTCAAATAAGGAGATTAATAATCTTACATTTGTATCAAGAATGGTCTGTTAAAATGCTAGGATACACTATTTTTAAAGTTAAATGCTTTGGGAGGCCAAGGCGGGCAGATCACGAGGTCAGGAGATCGAGACCATGGTGAAACCCCATCTCTACTAAAAATACAAAAAATTAGCCAGGCATGGTGGTGGCCGCCTGTAGTCCCAACTACTCGGGAGGCTGAGGCAGGAGAATGGCATGAACCTGGGAGGCGGAGCTTGCAGTGAGCCAAGATCACGCCACTGCACTCCAGCCTGGGTAACAAAGTGAGACTCCATCTCAAAAAAAGAAAAAATGATGATGATAAGTTAAATACAAAATTGTAAATGTTAAAAACATGAAATTTCGAAAAATATTTTTCTCAGGCTTTTAATTAATGTTATCATGTATGTATGTGTATATGTAAATGTATCAGTAATGGCACATTTCAATGCCCCATTGGACCTGGGTGATGTTTCTGGCTTTGAGAGAAATCTCACTGAGAGCATTCTGAAAGACTGTTGGTCCAAAGTCCTACCCAATTAAAAAGAATGAAAGAGAAACCTCATAATGCAGCTGTGAAGCAGCTTGTTTTATCCCCAGGGCCACCCCAGCACACTGGCTGCAATATCACAAGTCAATACACTTCTTTTTCATCTCTGTCTCTTGATCATCAAAACTAGAATATCTGCCCCTACTTATCACAAGGTTTCTAATGAAACACTGAGTATAAAAGTGTTCAGTGGCCAGGCATGGAGGCTCACGCCTGTAATCCCAGCACTTTGGGAGGCCAAGGCACGTGGATTACGTAAGGTCAGGAGTTCGAGGCCAGCCTGGCCAACATGGTGAAACCCTGTCTCTATTAAAAATACAAAAATTAGCCGGGTGTGGTGGCGCACACCTGTAGTCCCAGCTACTCGGGAGACTGAGGCAGGAGAATCACTTGAACCTGGGAGGCAGAGCTTGCAGTAAGCCGAGGTTGTGCCACTGCACTCCAGCCTGGGTGACAGGGCGAGACTCCGTCTCAATTAAAAAAAAAAAAAAAAAAATTGTTCAGTATATTTCTATGCTAATGCACACTGAATTTTATTACTCCAAAAATCAAAGTATTAAGAGTCTTCAGACATTTGTGAATAGAACTAAAATCAATACCATTTCTAAGTGACAGTGCTTCTAGTGAGAAAACAACGAGAACTGCTAATACCAACTTCTTAGATACCTGTCTTTAGACATCTAAGTACTACCTTATTTATATAATTTTCATGTATACCTTTCAATACGCATGTCTATCTTTCATTTAAGTCTCTCACCTTCTTTAGGTTCTTGATTTTTTTGTCTATCTCAGGGTCCCCAGAAATTGACTGAGAGATAGTGTTTCGTGGTGTGCTCTGTGGGGCAGGAGTAGGTGCCAAATCTGGACTCTTGTCACTTCTTGCTTCCTGCAGGAAATATTTTTAAAAATTCAATTTAAAAAAACCAAAAACATTACAGTATTTAAATCAACATAGCTTTGGTATATGAAATACAGAAACTAAATATGTGATTTTATCCACATTTTATATAAAAAATCTGAATTAAAGGTCTCATGAAGTATGCTACATACTCCCATATTAGAAATAAAATGACCTTATCAGAGTAAACTAGGGGGTTTCTATACCAGCAAACAAGCATTCCAAACTTTTGGATATTCTGAGATGTGCCAGCAGATAGATGGTCTGAATATATGAGAGGGCTTTTCTATTTAACGTGTTTCAAGTTTCACTCTTACAAGGCTCTCTCCAAAACTATAAAGAATATGTATGATCAAGTATATGTAATGGATTATGCTACAAGAATAAGAATCCTACAGATATTAATTCATAATCAGATCAATTCAGCTCTGCAACAAAGTACCACAAAACTTTTTTCCCCTTAAAGGGATGCTATATTGCTTCCAATATGATCATACCTCTGATAACTTTTCTTGTCCCTCCTTACTGATTCTGAATCACTTTTATTTCTGCTAAGATGCTCTATACTCTTGCCCCTGGCCTTTGTGTACGTCTCCCGTAACCATGGTTTCAGTAACTAAGGGTCAACTGCAGCCCAAAAATATTACATGGAAAATGCCAGGAATAAACAATTCATCAGTTTTAAGCTGTGTGATGAAATCTTTTAGCATCCAGCCTAGGACAAGAATCATTCTTTTATCCAGTGTATCCACAGTGTATTCGCCCCCCACCTATTTTTCACTAGTAGCTGTCTTTGTTATCAGATCGACTGTCACAGTATCAATAGTACTTGTGTTTAAGTAACCCTTACTTTACTTAATAATGGTCCCAAAGTGCAGGGTAGTGATGCCGGCAATTCGGATACGCCAAAGAGAAGCTCTAAAGTGCTCCTTTAAGTGAAAAGGTGAAAGTTCTTAATAAGGAATAAAAAATATTGTATGCTGATTTGCTAAGATTTACAGTAAGAATAAACCTATCCATGAACTTGGGAAGAAGAAAAAAGAAATTAGTGCTAGTTTTGCAGTTGCACCTTGAACTCTCTATCTTCTCTATCTTCTCTTTCTCTATCTTTGGCTACTTACTTCAGAGTCAGGACTAAGAAGGCCTGGATAAGGTGAGATTCTGTCAAGGGCCATTTAGCTTTGTTCCATCACACAGCCATAACTTTTACTAACTTCAGCCAGTCGTCCCCAAAATACATACTGAATAGTTTATCTTGCAAGTTGAAAACCTTTGCTATTACTGGAAAAACAACTCAAAAAGCAACTCTGCAATGAGGGATTACCGGTATCACCTTTGGTATCATCTTTAGTAAAAAAACGTGTGTAGGTGCTTGATGACTGTATTGGCTCTTTTTTAAAAAAAACTGACAGTTTGTATACACTTGTAACTGAGAGTTATAAATTTATAACTGATCAGCCCAGGTAATCATACTTTTTTTTTTGGAACGAAGTTTCGCTTTTGTTGACAGGCTGGAGTGCAGTGGCACAATCTCGGCTCACTGCAACCTCTGCCTCCCGGGTTCAAACGATTCTCCTGCCCCAGCTTCCTGAGTAGCTGGGATTACAGGCGTCCGCCACCACACCCAGCTAATTTTTGTATATTTAGTAGAGACCGGATTTCACCATGTTGAGCAGGCTGGTCTTGAACTTCTGACCTCAGGTGATCCACCCGCCTCGGCCTCCCAAAGTGCTGGGATTACAGGCGTGAGCCACCATGCCCGACGGTGATCACACTATTACCATGAGCTATAAAGAGTTACACATTTATAACTGAGAGTTATAACCATTATTTTTAATAATCATAATTTCATTATATTAATGTGAAATATTAAATAATTTATATTATAAAACATATAAATATAATTTGTATATTATTTATATAATTAATATAATTTAGTATATTAATGGTTGTTATAATTATTAATAATTATAATCATGTCATTATGTAATTATTTATATAATAATTATAAAGGAATCTTTGTTCAGTATCACCAGTGGTCACATTAAAAATATCTTTTGATAAAGTGGAAGAAACTTTGCTTATAAAAATAGAATTCTAAGTTGAGTGGGTTTCAGAGAGGCCCTAAAACTCAAAGGGCATCTTAGTTATCAAGTTGTAAGGATACTACTAATGTGTTGTAATATCCAGGGCCAGTAGAGGTCCCTACTTGTACTGATGAAGGGACAAGACTTGCTTTTATACAAATCTAATATCAAATGCATGAAACAGATCATTTTTACTTGGAATAACCTAAAGCTGACCAATTAAGATACTTCTGGGGATGAAATATATTAACTACAAATGAGCAGAATGGTTTTTCTAAAAGTCCAGATTTTAGCAGAATATGGTTGCATAAGACAATTCTACACCTTAAAATAGTAACTGCCTCCCAAAACACATAACTAGCCTAGACCTGTCAAAATTCAAGAATTATCAGCAAGACTGTACTGGTGATATAGCAATCAGCTGTTAAAAATCTGCTCTTTCTAGGATGGCCACAGTGGCTCACGCCTGTATCCAAGCACTTCGGGAGGCCGAGGTGGATGGACCGCTTGAGCTCAGGAGTTTGAGACTACAGCAACATGGCAAAACTCGGTCTCAAAAAAATCCCTAAAACAAAACAAAACCAAAAAAACCGACCCCCATTTCCAGCCTGAAAAACATAGCGAAAACCTGTCTTTACAAAAATGAAAAAATTAGTTGGGAATGGTGGTGTACATGTATAGTCCTAGTTACTTGGGAAGCTGAGGCAAGATTACTTGAGCTAAGGGTTTGGGGTTGCAGTGAGCCGTGATCATGCCTCTGCACTCCAGCCTGGATAACAGAGTGAGACAGAGAGTGTCTTGAAAAGAAACAAAAACAAAAAAACCAAAAACCCTACCCCACTGCTACCGTCTGACATATTGGTGTTTCCCCAAAATTCATAGTTTGGGACCTAATACCCAATATGATAGTATTAAAAGGTGGGGCATTTGGAAAATGATTAAGTCATGAGGAGTAGCTTTATAAAAGAGACCAGCGAGAGCTCCACTGCCCCTTCCACCATGGGAGGACACACAGAAAGAAGGTGCCATCTATGAGGAACGGGTTCTCACCAGATACCAAATCTGCCAGCACCCCAGCTTCTAGAACTGTGAGCAATAAATTTGTTTATAAATTACCCAGTCTAAGGTAGCAGCCTGAATGGATTGAGATATGTACTCTGCCTGAATTGCAAAAATGTGATCACAATAACTTCACTAACCAGACATCCCCAGCCCAGTCGATCACATTGTCACCATGACCTATACAATATCACAATTTGCAATTATTTATACTGGTGTGGCTTTTCAACTACATTAAATAAAAAATATTCTGGAAATATCCCATTATTTGGGTACTTCTGGTATTTTGATTCCCAGTTAAATAATTTCATATAGTACTATAATACTGAGTGCCCAAATGGCTTTCTAGTCATGTAATTTCCAGCTTCTCTTAGTAAATATATGCTTCAAGGAAAACAAACTACACCACTTTACACAAGTGCCACCAAAAGGGTCTACAGCAAATAACATGCTACATAATACTATTAGTGTCCCAGGTTATGATGTCAGATTCCGTTTCTTTTGTCACCCATAATATAGACAGGATTACTTAGAAATTCATAGGCAAACATAAACGAAAGATATTCTGCCTATTTAAGTCTAACTACATTTTATAATGTAAGAGCCAAGGTTTTTTGTGTTTTCTTTTTTCGAGTCATGGTCTTGCTCTGTCATTCAGGCTGGAGTGGTACAATCACAGCTCACTGCAGCCTCAACCTCCCAAGCTCAAGTGATCCTACCATCTCAGCTTCCCAAGTAGCTGGGACTATGGGGTACATGCCATCATGCCCAGCAAAAAATTTTTCGTAGAGACAAGGGTCTCACTATGTTGCCCAGGCTGGTCTTGAACTCCTGGGCTCAAGCAATTCTCCCACGTTGGCCTCCCAAAATGCTGGGTTACAGGCATGAGCCACCACACTTGGCCACAGTCAAGTATTTAGGACCACAATTCTTTAAATTTTAAGGCTTAGCGCTAACTTAACTGCCTTTTTTTTTTTTTTGGAGATGGAGTCTTGCTCTGTCGCCCAGGCTGGAAGGCTAGAGTGCAGTGACGCGATCACTGGTCACTGCAACCTCCACCTCCCAGGTTCAAGCAATTCTCCTGCCTCAGCCTCCTGAGTAGCTGAGATTATAAGCCATGCCAAACTAATTTTTGAATTTTTAGTAGAGACAGGGTTTCACCACGTTGGCCAGTCTGGTCTTGAACTCCTAACCTCAAATGATCCACCCACCTCAGCATCCCAAAGTGCTGGGATTACAAGCGTGAGCGACTGCTCCAGGCCATGACTATTTGTTTGTTTTGTTATGAGGAAATTAGTGCCCCAAATACCTGCTTTGCGGCTTTCTTAGCTTCATGCTTCCTTTGATTTTTAAGAGCTGTTTTTGATAATGGCTTATCATTTCCTGATTGTGATTTCATATTCTGAGGTGGTTCCTCTTCATGCTATGGAAAATATAAAATAATTCTGAAATGGAGTCCACGTTGTAAACACCTACAACAACAAATTACACACTTCTGCTAATATAGGATAAACTTATTTTATCAAATTTAGGATCCATTAGCAAAGATTATTTCAAAACTCATTGGTAGTGGCACACTCCAACTGTCAGGATGGATTTAATCAGGATCTTCCTATTAGTTGTTATATCTTTCAGTCATATCAGAGCTTGCAAAATTCACTTTAGTTTTGTTCAAACAACAGAATTTTTCTTAGCACTACTACAGACACATGAGTCTTATGAAAACTAGATACCAACAACAGCTTCTTCTGAGGCCTTTTTGGTTCTAACTACTGTCAACAGAAATCCAGTTGCCTCGCTTATTTTCTTTACACAAAGAATTACTTGCTAGATCTTTACTTGTAAAATCAGAGATTAGAAGATTAAAAATAAAAGCAAATGGAAAACCAAGAATAGATTATAAGAAAATAAGTGAAATAGAAAGGAATAATTAACTAGATAATTATAAATCTGGGACTGACATAATGAAGAGGCCAAAAAAAAAAAAAAGTACATGGTTTGTCAGATTACACAATGAAGATAATAATTTCCAACATCAGATATTTATGTAACCATATAACAACTATATTCCACAATAGAAAATATAGTGAATTATAGGTTCAGTGTATCTCCAGAATAGTTTTAGACAACATACAGTACAAGTGATGGCACTACAACTCCCTATCAGATTCATGTACTTACTGATTTCTATCTGTATTGCTATTATTTTAATGTTAACTCTTAGACTCTATCATAACTCAGCACATCAAAAGTATCAGCTCTCCATGAAGTTTCATGAGTACTAGGTCTCAGATCTGCATTTCATTTATAAGTCCTATGTGGAAATGAGCAGAGCTCAAACACTTAAGATGCAGAATAATAAATAAGAAACCATAGAGTGACCTTATCTTAGCAATTCCATCAACTATTTCAGGTCATCAAAGTTCTGGGCATGTTCATATTCTACTTGAAACAAACTGAATATTATCAGAACCCACATTTGTAGAACAGCAGACACATTTAGAGTGCAAGGCTTTTTCATTTCATGTTTACCCATGTTGCATAAAATGCTACTTAAGTTATATAATATTTGCTGAACATTTGTTTTATACATAATATGAAAATCCTTTCAATAGCGGGCTCTTCTGTAGTAGTTTGCTTTGGCTAAAAAGTTTCTGCTCAGGAGAACTTTGATTAAAAATGATGCAAGAAGAAAAGGTAAGTTACAAGTCTCTTCTACACTTACAAGCATCATGTAAGCCACTGAGAGCCTTTCACTTGAGATGAAAAAGTCCACACAACTACTATAAATCATGAGTTTTTTCTGGTTTTGGTACTATGTGCTCATTATGCATAATTTCATTCTTATTAATAAACTTTGTTTATTCAGTTATATCAGTTATTATGGGACTGTTTTTGATGAACACATTTTAATTTCTCAGCTCAATGCAACCTCCTCCTCCAGAGCTCAAGTGATTTTCCCACCTCAACCTCCCCGAGTTGCTGGGACCACAGGCAGACACCACCATGCCCAACTATTTTTAAAAAATTTTTTGTAGTGATGGGGCCTCGCCATGTTGCCCTGGCTGGTCTCAAACGCCTAAGCTCAGGTGATCCATCCGCCTCAGTCTCCCAAAGTGCTGAGATTACAGATGGAAACCCCTGCGCCAGACCAACAAACACACTTTAAAAGGTGAAGGTTTTTTGGAAAGCTAATAAATATTCTTTAAGTATAATTTATATATAAATTTGTACTTATAAAATTTTTTTTTCTGCGGGGGAATAACCCAACACCTTTTTTCCACTGCTGTGTAACCCTCCTCCTTTGTAAAGTTATCTACCACGCTGTCTTTGTTTCTAGTAATTTCTTGACAGTATTTTCTTTGTAATTTAGCTCATTTCTGGAATTAGATACATGTAAAAATGTCTAATTACTGGGCATATAGCTACTTCAACTAAAATGATTTGACAGGACCACACAATCATCATGCCACATAAAAAAGCAACAATTTAGTAGAAATCTTTTTTTTTTTTTTCTTTTTTTTTTTTCTTGTTTTTTTGAGACAGAGTCTCGGCTCAGGCAGCGGCGGTGCCAGTGCGCCCAATCTCAGCTCCCTGGCAAGCCTCCCCCCGGTTTACGCCATTCTCCCTGCCTCAGCTCCTCCCGAGTAGCTGGGACCACAGGCGCCAGCCGCTCGCCCGGCTAGTTTTTTTGATATTTTCAAGTAGAGACGGGTTTCACGTGTTAGCAGGATGGTCCTCGATCTCCTGCGACATCGTGGATCGCCGTCTCGGCCTTCCCAAGTCTGGTAGATCCAGGCTTGCACCACCCGCGCCCCGCCAGAAATCTTGAATGCTTAAAAAAAATCCCGGCGGCGTACGTGGCTTCATGCCTGTAATGTCCCAGACACTTTGGGACGCCAACTGGGTGGCATCCCCTAAGGTTGGAGTTTTCCAGACCCAGCCCTGGCCCAACAGGGCGAAAACCCCGTCTCAACTAAATAATTAGCTGGACGGGTGGCAGGCACCTGTAATCCCCAGCCTACTCAAAGGCTGAGGCAGGGGATTGCTTGAACCCCGGGAGGCAAGGTCTGCATGTGAGCCAGATAGGTGCCCACCGCACTCCAGCCTAGGCAGACGTGCACCGACTTGTCTCAAAAACAAAACAAACAAACAAAAATCCTGATTTTAAGTTCTTACCTAATTTCATCACCATTTCCAAAGTATTCTTTTCTGTATCAATTTCTCCCCCTCACCAAATAAACCTACTAGTTTTATGGATCAAAGAATTGTGCCATCATGCACAGATAAAGAAAGCAGGATGGGTTGGAGTTACTTTTGTTTTCATCTGAGGTAAGGAAAATTCCAATACAGAAATAGGACAAATCCAAAGTCTACTATATATTTTTATTTAAATCTAAATAAATATGATAAATACAAA